TAACAACGGACTAGACCAGTGGCTTTTATTGGTAACAACGGACTAGACCAGTGGCTTTTATTGTTAACAACGGACTAGACCAGTGGCTTTTATTGTTAACAACGGACTAGACCAGTGGCTTTTATTGTTAACAACGGACTAGACCAGTGGCTTTTATTGTTAACAACGGACTAGACCAGTGGCTTTCATTGTTAACAACGGACTAGACCAGTGGCTTTCATTGTTAACAACGGACTAGACCAGTGGCTTTCATTGTTAACAACGGACTAGACTAGTGGCTTTCATTGTTAACAACGGACTAGACCAGTGTCTTTTATTGTTAACAACGGACTAGACCAGTGGCTTTCATTGTTAACAACGGACTAGACCAGTGGCTTTTATTGTTAACAACGGACTAGACCAGTGGCTTTTATTGTTAACAACGGACTAGACCAGTGGCTTTTATTGTTAACGACGAAATAAACCAGTTGCTTTTACTGTTAAAAATGGAATGGATCAGTGGCCTTCATTATTAACAACGGAATAGACCCGTGGCTTTCATTGTTAAATGAATAGACCAGTGGCTTTCATTGTTAACAACGGACTAGACTAGATGCTTTCAAAGTTTTAGGGCGTGGCTTTCTCAATATTAAATTGAAATAGTGTGCAAACCAGTGACCCACTGTATAAAAACCATGAACAACTATAAATCACATTGTACGGGAAAGATATGAAACAAGACGAAACAAAACAATGAACATATCGGCAAAAAGCTTTCGTCATCGAAAAAATAAAACCCTGCAAAAACTGAATTTAAACATTTAAAAATAAAAAAATGGACAGAAACTGATTTAATGTTGTGTTTTACATAAAACATCGAAATCACAGTCAAGTCTGAGTAGGGGGTGGGGGGGGGGGGGGTGGAGGGGGGAGAATTTTTTGTGGGTGATGTTTGTTTGTTTGCTTGTTACTGTTGTATGTTTTTCCCTACCCTGTGATTTATATTTCCTATTCTTTCATCCCGATTCTGGTCCTCTTCTGGTACCAGAGGCGTAGCTAAGGGGAGGGTCAGGGGGGAAGGTTCCCTGGGCACCAGACTAATTAGGGGTGCTAAAATGTGCTTTGAAATTATTTTATTGATAAAATTAATGGGTTTGTGTGGTGAAAAAAGAAAGGGGAGGTGCATTAAATCGGATCTTGTCCCCCGGGCGTCAAACACTCTAGCTACGCCTCTGCATGCTACATAGACAAAACCTCTTCGCAAAACCCTCCCCTTGCCCATTTTATTTATAAAAAATCAAGAGGACAAATAAAATGTAAAAAAATATATATTTTGAGATCCACTGGACTAGACAATACACACGACTTTGTTATTTCAAAATGGCTATAATTTCATTGCTGTAGTGTTGTGCGGTAAGTATGTCCGAGTGTAATTTATAAAGCTTTTGACGACCTGGAACATGTGTTCTCAAACACGATTAGACTAATGTTCGCAAAAAAAATGGGGTTCTTTAGTTATGCTCAGTTCACTCGATCACAATTTTCGTTCATACATTTGTCACAGCTTTAAAATTAGTATTTGGTAAACGGAGTGCCGGGTACCTATAGCAGCTATTTGAACCCGGCTGGTTACGTGAGGGCTTTATATATGGCCGGCACTACGTACACCGCGGCGGTGTACCTAGCGAAACTATTGACTTTGGCCTGCGTACACCGCGGCGGTGTACCTAGCTAAATCATGGTCTGTGGCCTGCGTACACCGCAGCGATTTACAGTAGCCAAACTATGGTCTTTGCGAGTCTTTAACTTTTTGGCCTAACCGGTACTTGTAGATTTAATGTTATACTCGTGTTAAAACTGAAAACTATTAAAAATTCGTTTATTACCTTGGGAAGATATTGAGTAAGGTCCACGCGTATGTGGCAAAGTGCATGTAAAGCATTTCTTATTATTTTTGGAAGGGAAGGGGCTGGGGGGGGGTAATGTTAAACCATGATTTATTTTTAAAGTTAACCACTTTATTCCCCCCTCCCCCAATATCTTGAAATACAAATATATTTATTAATTGTAAGTTTTATCATATGATTGTGAATCTTAATTTGAAATTATTCTCT